ACTGGATGCAAGCTGAAACTATATGCATATCTGATTCCTCTCTCACATGTCAGTGGTTCGTCCGGGCGAGACCCATCGGAACCCCAGCAGTGACACCTCAGCTGCACTGTGATGGTTTTGCGGATGTTCAATCAGATCTACGCATGGTAAAGGTGTGCGGATTCCAACGGGTGGAATAAGTTAGTGTGAACGTTCAGTGTGAGCATGAATAGCAGGTGATGGACGTCACATGTGTGTATACGACTGTATAGACCTCCGTGTTGTGTGAAGGCCCCGGAGGGCTGATAATCAAACTTAATAATCCTTAACTATTGTGGCCCTTATAGAACTCTCATTCATGTAAGATCCGGGCCACCCCATGAAAGCCTGGTATATGTAGTGGAAAACAGGTGGTGTGTGGAAAGCGTAGGCGGACCGTTTGGCTCTTTCAACCGTTGCGCCTGATCCCACCCCTAGTCTTCACACTGTCTTGGCACCAAGCTCAGGCGCATGATGAAGGGAAGCGAGAGGGTGTGGTAGATACAGCACAAGTCGACCTCGCTACAAATTAGTTCATGTTTAGTCCAAACGGACCTAACTGCCATATTCGAACCAATATGCAAAGGGAATTTATCGATATTTCGCGGTCCGCTGGAAAATCACAAGTGCGCCCTTGCGAACTTGATTGACGATGGAGTATAGCTGCGAACTAACGGTGGACGGTTTATACAGGATACTAAAATGTCATGATTTCCGAAATGTTGTACAGTACGCAGTTTTTGGCCCAATGAACAACAAGGGAAAATATATAGGACAGTGATGGTAGTGATGGTGCGTAGGATGGACTCTTTCGCATGTGGGCCGAGACGCAAATCAGCGTACGACGTGCGAAAGTGTCTTTGTCGAGTATAAACATGTTTTCCAGGCCACGCCGGCGTACAGCGGACGCACGAGTAAACAACTTAGCTTTCGACTAGATTCCTTCGACAAGTTGGGAGTCACAGGTCGCGCCTGCGCCGAGACTAGTGACACGTACAAATTCTTCCTGCGAGGATTACTAATAAAAA